AACTCCAGCAGACAGGTAAGAGATTCACTTCACCTGAGACGGAAACCAGAAACCCAGCTACAGAACGACATACTGAGAAAACTACCATTACACACAGTCAGGTAACATGCTACGGTATTTCAGTGTTATTATTAGTTAATACACAACACCTGAGAGCTGAGAGAAGAGGAGAAAACCACCAGAGACGGAACACAAAAACAACACAGATAAGACTTTCAGTGGACTGATAAAGAGCAGATAGAAAATAAACAGAACGACTTGCCTATAGACATTCAGTTAAACATTAAATAAAGACTCTCTCTACAACAGCCTCAAACTGAGGATCAGACTGACTGCATTGCTTTGTCTGAAGCTGAACTGTACAGTGCAGTGAAAACCAATTTAGACGAAAGCAGACTAAAAACCGAAGCTCTGGCACATTTCTGCCAGATTGCAGAAGTAGCCTAGGCTAAATGTGATTTAGAGCGCTGGGCATTTCCTCACCGAGGTTATGTAAAGAGCTTATTATTCACACTGTCTGTATACGCGCTATAAAAGCGTCCGGCAGACACACTGGACACCAGCTGAAACCGAGACACAGAAGAAGAACCAGAAACTCCAGCAGACAGGTAAGAGATTCACTTCACCTGAGACGGAAACCAGAAACCCAGCTACAGAACGACATACTGAGAAAACTACCATTACACACAGTCAGGTAACATGCTACGGTATTTCAGTGTTATTATTAGTTAATACACAACACCTGAGAGCTGAGAGAAGAGGAGAAAACCACCAGAGACGGAACACAAAAACAACACAGATAAGACTTTCAGTGGACTGATAAAGAGCAGATAGAAAATAAACAGAACGACTTGCCTATAGACATCTCTCTACAACAGCCTCAAACTGAGGATCAGACTGACTGCATTGCTTTGTCTGAAGCTGAACTGTACAGTGCAGTGAAAACCAATTTAGACGAAAGCAGACTAAAAACCGAAGCTCTGGCACATTTCTGCCAGATTGCAGAAGTAGCCTAGGCTAAATGTGATTTAGAGCGCTGGGCATTTCCTCACAGAGGTTATGTAAAGAGCTTATTATTCACACTGTCTGTATATATCACAAGGCAAACAGATGCTGGTAAATATACTCACTCATTGTGTAACCGGCAGATTAGGATTAACAAAATCCCAAAATGAGAAGATTAACAGCAAACGTGTCGAGGACATGAGTAAAGAGTGAGAACGAGATCAGATGAGGGAACATTTAAAGCTCTAACGGAGAGAAGATTCACAGATTCAATACAATCACTTTTTAAAGGAAACCTTTATGTTTTAGTAAGTGGCAGACATGGACGTCCCAGCACCTGTTGAGAAGAGAGGACCCCCAAAGTTCAAGCAGAGAACCGCTCGCACTTTCAGGAGCAAGGCTCCCAAACCCGGACAGAAAGGCTTCGGAGACGACATCCCTGGAATGGAAGGTCTTGGCACAGGTAAGTGACAGGCAACGAGAGTTTCAGATATTGGTCGTTTCAGTATATATGCAGCGATGAACCCGACGGCTTTCTTTCTCTGGTTTTTGGAAACAGACATCACGGTGATCTGCCCCTGGGAAGCTTTCGGCGACATGGAGCTTAGTGATCTGGCCAAATATGGGATCTTGTAGCCACCTCATCCATCCTCCTGCTCTCTTCCCGAGATCATCCATCAGCCAGCATTGAGTGTCACTAGTTTAGAGAATCGTCTGTTCACGCCAAGACTGAACCGGCAGCAGACGCTCTCAGGCCAACACACAAAGAAGATGGGATGTGATTAATAGATTGGGGAAAATAAGGACAGTAACTCTTTCAGCACAAGGTCTGGCTCTTCACTGGAGCTCTTAGCAGGAGAAATCAATCTCACAGCCACAATATCATTCAGTCTTGCTTTCCTAATGTTGTAGAAAAATAAAGAACGGTTCAAATCAACTTGACTTTTTTGAACTGTGAATATGATTGTGTTTGTGTCAGAATCAATTCATCATGGTTAATTAAAAACCACCGATTTGGCAGTAGAACACTAAAATAAATATTTATTTCCCCATAAATCTGTGTGATGAGAATTTTCTCTATTTAAACCTTTAAACTGGGACCATTATAAGACTATTTCATACAAAGTCTTCGCTTCATACAATTCAAATCAACTTGACTTTTTTGAACTGTGAATATGATTGTGTTTGTGTCAGAATCAATTCATCATGGTTAATTAAAAACCACCGATTTGGCAGTAGAACACTAAAATAAATATTTATTTCCCCATAAATCTGTGTGATGAGAATTTTCTCTATTTAAACTGGGACCATTATAAGACTATTTCATACAAAGTCTTCGCTTCATACACTCAAAAAAAATATCAAAGAACATTTTTAAATGGCTTTATATAGTTACCAGCATACTTACTGCTGGGTCCTTTTTAGAACGGTTAAGTAATATAATACTAATAATACTGCTACTACTAATAAGAAACATCTGCTGGAGCTCCTATATGAACATTTTCTAAAATTGTAGATTATACGGAACTGAGATGTGCACCGTTTTATTATCTTTTCTCACTACGTCACGTAGCACTGCTGCGAAACTCGGCTCAAAGAGAAAATTTCACTTCACAACATTTGTTTTAAATGAAAATTCGATTAAATAACACGAGCGTAATGATGCTGGAGCTCATTAGTTCGAAAGGAAGAAATACAACTGGATATTGGATAAAAAAGAAAAGCTAAATATAAGATAGTCTTCTCTCCATCACACACGACGCAAAAGAGGACAGTCGACGGCTGAAGGATGTTATACTGAAGATACTGAAGGTAATAAACCATTAGTTTAGCTCGCGTAAATGTAGAAACACTAAGATTTAACCATCAGCAATATGCCATTATTTACAATTTGACATTACAGATTTACACTTTCAGTCAAATAAGATTACTTTACATCGAGAAGAGCATCTCATGAAGACCATACATTAGGTAGAAGAAATCTTTCACAATGTTCACCTAAAATTATTTGAGAATTTCTCCCCATGTCCATCTACAATTTTAAAGCAGTCGACTGAAATCAAAGACCCATCGAGTGGTTGTTTTAAAAAAAAACATTTTATATGGACATTTAGATACAAATTACATCACAAATGGAATCAGAATATGTAGAGAGAGAGAGTTCAACTCAAAAACACGGTTACACTGTAAACCAAAGGAGAGTATGTGGAACAGGTATCATATTCATAAGGTGCGAGAATGGAGGGATTTCAGCCTTCTCACTCCATCATCAGAAGACGAGCGTCATGCGAGAAACCCGTCTCAGAGCAAAGAACTCTGCGGGAGAAACCAGCGAAGGACAGAAGGAGAGAAACCAGCAGATCTGCCGCATCTTTAAAAGCCAGAAGTTCAGAATTTAGGAGCCGAGATCATTTTAATCTCTTATAATACTGTGGAATGTGTATGCATAGACTGCAAGTACCATTTAAACAAAATGAAACTAATAAAGTAAAGCTGTCTGGGTTAGTGTTCAGACTGTGGTCAGTTTTTCTTTAGGCCAGTATCTTAGTGTCAATGAAACACGGCCCTCATCCTCTCAAACAAGCGGAGGCGGAATTACTTCCCAAACTCTAAAATGGCTAAATGTTTTCAGTCCTGGACCAGGATACAGTTACACCTAGAATCTACTGAAACGCGTGATGTCCTGCAGAAACAAAACCAAACAAATGATGAAATGCAGGTGTGTTTTCACAGATAAGGAAAGCGGTCTTGGATTGCAGGAGGAGGACGCTACAATCCACGTCCAGCTATCTTGAAATAATTAATGAGCCACTTCAAACAATATCAAAAACCTATTCATACAAAAAAAAATAAACCAAATAATAGAATTACAAATACGTTTACACACAAACCAAGAATGTGCTTGACTTTTCTTTGGAACCAAAATTCAAAAAAAGCAAAATAGCAATATACTGAAGGGAAAGAGGACACGCTCTGCAAGAAAGACAAACAATACTATGCGTTTCTCATTTAAAAACCCACAAACTTTTTTTTGATCCACTTTTCTGAGATTTGGGCTGAAAGTTGCATATTTTACAAAACTATGCTAATAAAAGAGCTTGCCGATATTCCACAAGAAGGGCTCTTCGATCCCAAAATCTGAAGGAAAAAAGTTGTAAATATTTCTTAGCATAATTTAAATACTTGCTATAGTCATTATGCCGTATTTCTGTGTATGATTCCTGCCCTTCATCAAAGCCAACACACACAACCATGAGAAACTAATGACGATAATAATCAATAATAATAATGATAATGTTTGGTAAAATTTCATGTCTATTCTAGTTTACTTGCATATAATGACTATTTAATTTTAAAGGTACGCCTCTTGAAATTGGTCTGAACGGAGGTACGGTTTAAAGAACACAAAGCTTTCAGCAAGACGGGTTATTATGACACATCGTCCCGTTGGTGTGCGTCACACTTCAGTGATCTGTGACAGCTGTTGGAGTTGCCTTTCATCCTTGATCTTTCCAGAGAGAGGAAGACCACGACGGTAGTCTCTCATCACGCCGCTGTATTTGGGATTATAGCATCGTCCTCTCTTACAGAGCTGATGGGATCCAACAATTTCAAGATGATCCTTAACACAGAGACAAGAGCGGTCCAGACGAATGTCTATATTTCTTAAAGAGTATTGATAATTATTGTAGTGTGAAACAGTGAAGGGTGACGTAAATGTGTTCACTGCAGTCCTGACGCTCTGTGCACATGTAGTTCAATGGCCACTAGAGGCAGTCTAGAGCCGTTACTGCATGCATATGTGCAGAGAGACGAGCCAAAGGAAGAAATGATTCGCGCTTCTCGGTCAGAGATCTGTTACCATTTAGTGTTCGACGTTGTCAGGTTTCCTTTAAAAAAAAAAACAACAACGAAAAAATCCATCTTCTTCGATGTATTGATTTATAGTTGCATTCCTTATTCAAAGTTCGTTCGTAACAGACGTGCTTCGCTTCTTTTTTTGTTTTTTTTGTTTTTGTCCAAGAGTGTGATTGGATTTTTCCCTCCGAGGTCAGCAGCCGTTGGTGAAGTTTCAGAGAGACAGCGAATCTGGAAGTGTATTAATATGGTGAGAACCGGTTGTATCCTCCTCTGTAGAGAGTGGCCTGCGAGAGAGAGGTTTGGTTAGAAAGCGTTTGAGGATCTGAGAGCGTGACGGAGAGACGGAGGCGAAGCTTACCATCGCGCCGACTCCATACGCTGCTGCCGCCGCCGCCGCCGCCGGAGAAGCCGCTAGCGCAGCCGCATACGGATCTGCCGCGTACATGCGACCGTAGCTGCAAAACACAGAGATGCACACGTCTCAGAGAGAAACACATGACTAAAGCTCATAATCCGAGCCGTAAGCAGCATAGATACGCAGAAATGGCTGTCCGTCCCCTGTATCTAATGTTCCGTGTGCGACATTTTAAAAGTTACATTGTTACGCTCGTCAATGTCAAAACCATTGAGATGGCCAATCAAATCAAAGAAGGCGGGGCTTTACGGTTCACAGAAGCAGAACGTGATGTGACGTCACATGCAACTAAACATTTACTATTTGACAACAGAAATGTCGAACAGGCAACAGTAATATCCAGTGACGCAAACTACTCAACTTTGTCAAATTTTGCCGATTTATATTGAAAATATACGCTGAATCCTCTTTATCTATAACTGAATGTGCCGAGACAAGAGTGAGTTTGACATATTAGTCATACACACGAGAGCGAATACAAATACATACGTTTACTGTTATTCTATGTTTTTCATTTCATTTGTTCCATTTTAATCATTTAGTTCCTTGAAGAGATGGTTCACCCAAAAATGAAAATTGTGTCATCATCTTCTCACCCTAATGTCGTTCCAATATGACCTTCCTTCATCTTTGGAAAACAAAAGAAGATATTTTTAATAAAAGCTGAGAGATTTCTTCCCCGCCGCTGAAACACATCCAAAACTTCAGAAACAATGCAAAAGTAATTCATTTTGAATCGCTGACTTTAGACTCGCATCAGATATCCATGCCGAAGTGAAGATATTTAGTCAATACATACTTATTTTTTGTTTTTGTGTTTTGTTTATTGGTTCATAAAATTGGGATTTAACCACTGGAGTCACATGGAGCACGTTTACGTTTTCTTTATGAACGTTTTCAAGCTGGAAAATTTTAGGTGAACAGACTTGCACTGGAGGAACAGAAATCTCTCAGCTTAAAAAAAAAAAATCTTTGTGTTTGAAAACGAATGAAAGTCATATTGGTTTGGAATGACATGAGGTTGAGTAGATGATAGGGGTGTAACGGTACACGTATTCGTAAAGTGGTTTACTGAACAAATTGCTCTCTCTTTAAATAAAGAGCTTCGGTACGCATGTGTACCAAACGGCTCCATGTAGTTTGGGGCATAAGCATAAGGTAGATTTTTTATCTCTAAGAATTTTAATTATAATTAAATTGATTTAAAGAAAGAGCAATTTGTTCAGTAAACCACTTTAATAAAAAAAAACTTGCTTACCTGTCGCTGTATGCCGCTGCCGCCGCTGCTGTGGGACTCGCTACCGCCGTCGGCTGGGTGTAGCGATACGCGGTATAGCCGCTCTACAGAGACAAAACAACAGATGCACTTAAAATAAGCACCGGTGCAATGAGGCAGGTGAAGTGGTGAGTTAGCAGGGGAAAAAAGGACATGAAAACGTTCAAGAAAAGCAAACCTAAAGTCCATTAACAAGCAATCTGCCACTGATGTTCAGTCAAACATAAACCGCATTCTGAGAACCGTACGTAAGTCTGTTACGCACTGTGAGTCTTCCTCAGTGGCAAACAATGCACAATCATGGAAAAAGAGGAGTGGTTTCTCTAATGATTAAGAATCGATGGTTTGTTTGTCAAAGAGGGAGACACAAGCAGAAATGGGGATCGTGAGTGCATTAGCGTCAGTGTCATCGTCACCCCCAAACACACAACCAGGGCTGATCAAACCGATTACTGGTGCCATATTCAGACAGACAGACAGATAGTGAGATTAGCAGAACATCCACACAACCACACAGACAGCATGCACCCCAAACTCAATACAATAACAAGCCATTTACGCCATTCTCTCCTCAGCATTCTACCCTACGGCCAATCAGGAAAATCTCCCATGATCCCTCACACTCCTGCGAGAGTGCAGCCGCCGAGGGAGGTAAGACAGAGAGAGAGAGAGAGAGAGAGAGAGCGCGTGTGAGAGAGCGAGAGAGAGAGAGAGAGAGAGAGCGCGTGTGAGAGAGAGAGAGACAGAGAAAGAGAGAGTGTGATAGAGAGAGTGTGAGTGAGTGAGAGAGAGTCAGAGAGAGAGTCAGAGAGAGAGTCAGAGAGAGAGAGAGAGAGGGAGAGAGAGAGAGAGAGATCTACTAGCGAATTAAGTGTGATTGCATGCCAACACAGATCGAGTTAACATGCTGCAGAGAGAGAGACAGGGACTCTGGGAAGGGGACAGAATCAGATCCAGTCTGACAAACCCAAAACATCCAGAGTCCTTAAAACTATGGTCTCGAATATCAGCGATGCACAACAAAAGACCTGCAGGAAGTCATTCGCTTGAAAACAGCACCAGACAATTATTTACAGTCTCAGAAGTGTAAATAATCTACCGCTGAGGGCTGGGCGGCGCGGTGCGGCGCTCGAGATTGAGCTGTACGGTTTTTAAGCTAACACAGTTCAAGAAACATGGAGTACAGCAAAAGTAACGAGCAAGTCAAGAAGAAAAGGAAAAAACTCCTTCAGAAACGTTTCACGAGCAACGGCACAAACTAACATTCACTCAAGATTCTACAGGTGTTCGGTGGCTCATCCAATCAAAACCTGTTTTATAATGTGTGACCCTGGAGCACAAAACCAGTCATAGGGGTCAATTTTTCGAAATTGAGATTTATGCATCATCTGAAAGCTGAATAAATAAGTTATGACAGGACAATATTTGGCTGAGATGCAACTATTTGAAAATCTGGAATCTGAGGGTGCAAAAAAATCTAAATATTGAGAAAATCATCTTTAAAGTTGTTCAAATGAAGTTCTTAGCAATGCATATTACTAATCAAACATTAAGTTTTGATATATTTACGGTAGGACATTTACAAAATATCTTCATGGAACATGATCTTTACTTAATATCCTAATGATTTTTGGCATAAAAGAAAAATCAATAATGTTGACCCATACAAAAGTATTGTTGGCTATTGCTACAAATATCCCCCAGCGACTCAACACTGCTTTTGTGCTGCAGGGTCACATATTAGTCTGACAGTTTTGATCTTGTGGTTCACTGAAAGAAAAAAGATGAAGCACCTGCCACACGATCATATATACCGTTTTATATTGAATTCCCCGGAAGAAAACACTATAGGAAAAAAAAGAAAAATCAGTAGAATTACTGCTACTGTCAGACGGGTTTGTGATCGTTCCGCTCAGCCCTGCTAACGCTGTTTTTGGGTATTTTCCCGAGTACGAGTCGCTGCTGGGACGTTTGATGCCGCTGCCAAATTTATCATGCGCTCCGAATCGTTTAGAAAGGAAATGTGCAGAGTTCAAGCAGAATTTCTTTCTTTCTCCCCCTTCCAGCCCTCACTCCTGTCAGATTACTGTGAGTTAGTAGGGAAACAGAGACAGCAATCTCACACGATCAATATCAAACACATGTATTAATCAGAAGGAGAGATGCACACTATCCGTCTGTGAGCCTACCTGAGGCATTCTGCTACTAACCAGAGTGTCCTGAAACACTATTCTACAGAGAAAACAGAAAGAGCTATCGTCAACCTGGACACACACACACACACACACACTCGCGCACACAGAGCCGTCCGAATCTGTTGATGAGAAACAAATCAAGTGATTCGTCCGATTCTATTGCATCACACAAACATAATGAACAGGATTCGTGTCTGCGCAGTGATTTTAAAGCATGTCTTCTTCAGAACGAAACGGCTCTGCATGGCTACAGTTTTCCAGTTTTCAAGCACTCGGAAAGAGAGAAGGAAAGAGAGAGGAAGTAAAACCAAGACACAGGAAGTGTCATACTTACATACAGTTCTGTAGCTCCATAAAACCCATCCTGGTACACCACACTGAGAGACAGAAAAACAAAATGACAGCAAAAAGAAAAGAAAGAAAGAAAGATGGAAGAGCAAGGAACATAAGATTGGGGGGAAAAAAAAAAATGGTCAGGGCGCCACCATGTGGTGATCGAAGGAAGGAACAAAACAAAAGAAGACGAAGACCACGAAAAAGAGAAGGTGAAAACATTAATTCACACACATGCAGTGCACTTGGTCATAAAACAGAAAAAAAAATGCCACTTTGATCCCGTTCAGAATCACAACACACTTGAACAGTTATAAAGTTACACTACATTTCCCATTAAACGGGTCACACGTCAGAGAAAATGGCATTTTTTGTGTCATTCGAGTGACTGATTGCATATTTACATCAGCTGATCTCCTTTTGTGAGCAGAAGGTCATGCAGCATGCAGAAAACTAGAGAGAAATCAGATTTGCTGCTTCTGTGTGCACATGCGTGCATGTATGTATGAATGTAAGCCAGCACAGTTGGGTTACCCCGGGTAGGCCTGTATGGCGGGCTGAGGAACCGCGGCGCGCACCGCTCCGTAGACGGGACGCCCGCGACCCCGCAGGTGATGCGCTCCTCTGAAGGTCGCAGCTGTGGATGCGGCGGCTGCTGCGGCGGCGGTGGAGGGATAAGGAAACCCTGGAACTACAGCCAGTGACATGATCGTTCCTGAATCACACTCTCACGCATTAAGGCCCGTTCACACCAAGAATGATGAAGTTCTAAAAACTGTTCTGGACTTAAGAGAATAGTGGACATCTATTACGATACAGAGGAAGGATATCATTGGGATTAATTTCAGAACGATGAAAATAAATCACTGACCGCTAAAAAGGATTCATTAGAATTTCTCACGCATAGGGTTGGGTACCGAAACCCGGTACGAATATGGCACCGGTACCTATGTAACCGGTATGTACTAGAACCGAATCAGAATGCAGATTTCGGTGCCATGCCCGAGTGCTCGATTGAAATGTGTCCTCTGGTTCTCCGAAACGGACGTAAGAAGCATCATCACCGACACCACACGTGAAAAATAATTTCCCGACTGAGAAAACGCACGTGAACTCAAGTGGGAAAGCTCTAATAATACAGATCCAACACATCTTTGTAGCAACGAGAGTGTCCATGTTGTTTCCACATTCCGACACACAAGCAGAGCTCGGGAAACGAGAGCATCGAGGAGCGCGTGAAGGCAGTAACTACACTTGCTCCGATGCCTTCCGTTAACTAAGCTAAACACGCTTACATTAAAATGCCTAAAGCTAAACTTCACATTTCTAAACCTGTTGTCCAACAAAAGAGAACATTATAACCTTCTTACTCCACAACACCAGTCACATGCTTCCTTCTGTGATCTGATGAGGCTTCTCGTCACAGAACGAGGCAGAAAATATGTTCCATACGCTACTTTACAAAGAATACATCGATTAGCAATGGATTATAAATATACTTAATTATGTAAATACCGGAGATGGCTTGAATAACACTGATAAACTATATTGTTGCAGTCGAGTGTTTATTGTCTTTTGTTTTATCATTCAAAACGTTTATATGTTCCGTTTACTCAGTTAAAGCTATAATAGCATGTCTTTGTCCATATAAGGGATTTCCTGGAGAGTCATGAGTTCTGCTACTTCTGTGACTGGACGTGTGGATTTATGTGCGAGGGCGCCCTCTGGTGTGCAGTATGAATGAAACAGACATCATGTGTTTATAGTGCTAATGGCCAATCCATCATTTTTTGAATGTGCTTCTGTGTTGAAGAAAATGCGGCGCGGTCAGTGGAATAGGAGAAAATTCAAGAAGATGGGAGTTGAACTTCTTTTAACTTGAGCGGTGTGTTTTTAGAAAGCCGTTTCATGCAAGAGACGCGACATAGAAAAGACAACGGAAAAGCAGCGCAATCGAATGAAAACTTGTAAAGAACTACTAGTGTATGTCTGATATTTCATGTTTGAATCATGGTGACAGACAAAGCTGCTGTTGTTTTTATAGAGCATTTATAGCTAATAATAGTCTACTGGTGTTATACCTTCAGTCATTAGAGCAATAATCCCCGTGAAGCCGTGGTTTACAGTGCATTTATAACTGCTCATAGCTAAGAGGCGTTGTTAGGTACGATGCGAAGCGGAGTCTAAAACCCCTCTAGCTGTTATAAATTCACTGTAAACCACAGCTTCACGGGGGTTACTGCTTTTATAAAACGGTTATAGTAAGGTTTCACAAAATAAAACGGAGCAAATAAAGTGTAATGATATTAATAAACACAGTATTCTTCCACCAAACAATGTAGCTCCTCAGAAACAGTTGTGGTTGCTACAAAGTGGTTGCCGAGCAACACACAAACGTAAACAAAGGTGTGTGTTACTTTGTAGCGTCATTTACAACAGCTTCGAACGCGGCTCAGCCAATCAGAGCCAAGCACCGGAACTATCCGCTTTATAATTACCTTGATTTTTTTTTAAAGCATTTTCCTTGTATTATTTCTGAACATATAATATACATAAGACAAGTTTGTACAAGATGTAGTTGTAGTTCATGCATCTTTTTTGCAAAGATATTTAACGTTAACAAGTGCTTTGTTTAACATTTACATCATGTTGACAACTTCATGTGTGGCGCACTTAAAATGGAATTTTTTAACTAGAGGGTTAATAACGAAAAAAGTTACTTGAATCATGTTGTAGTTAAATTTTCAAGTTGACTTGTTAAAAAAATCGGTCAAACGTTCTTAAAAAAAAAAAAAATCTAGATTTTATTTATTTTTTTGCCATATCGACCACCCTTACTTTGCAGTGAAAATAAGTGTGTGTTATTTTAATTCCACTACATTAGCTAAATTCACGGTTAGATTAGTTAGTCTAGATTGACTGGTTAGCTGCGTTTGAAATGAAGCATACTGAGGACATCTGCCGGTGAAAGCCGTGAAAATTCAACAAGAACAGCAAAAACAAACTGATAATGACTAAAAAAAAACTAAAGTTTATCGAGTTTTTAACGAATTCTCCGTGACGAAGAGCCTCTGTTTTTCCTTTGGCTACTCTGACACTGCAGCACGCAAGCTTAGAATAAACAGACTTACTGCTGGCGGGACGCAAATAAAGTCATCGTTACAGTGTGAACAGGCCTTTACAGTGTTGTTTACGCTACATGTCATCTCAAAATGTTTCACCAACACAAGAGTAATGATGCACTTCAACAGGAAGGCGAACAATCTGTTTGCACAGCGTTCGTGTTCAGCGTCTCACCTGCGTAGAGCTCCGGTGCGTACATCGCGCTCATCATAGGACTCAACTTCCACCCCGCTGAAGCCGAACAGAGAGAAGAGCCTCAGATTAACCACCTGGCCTCGTCGCTAACAACTGAACAAAACCTGAAAACTGTGGCGAGCTGGTTTTGCCGTAGGGCGCCTCTTGTCTCTTGTGCTTTGGTGTTTACATGTCTCTCGTTACTTTGAATTGCAGCACGCAGATTTAGAAGAAACAGACGTACCATTGACTGGTGCGGACGCATATAAAGTTTCGTTATAGTTGTCATTATTGGTGTGAACGGGCTTTAAAATGTTGTTTACGCTGCACATCATCTCAGAACATTCCCCATCACAGAGCAATGATGCACTCTAACAGGAAAGTGGAAAATCCGTTTGCGTCTCACCTGCGTAGAGCTCCGGTGCGTACATCGCGCTCATCATAGGACTCAACTTCCACCCCGCTGAAGCCGAACAGAGAGAAGAGCCTCAGATTAACCACCTGGCCTCGTCGCTAACAACTGAACAAAACCTGAAAACTGTGGCGAGCTGGTTTTACCGTAGGGCAGCGTGCTGAGACCTTCTCCGTTAGTATACGGGCTAGCCATCTTCTTATTGGTCATCACTCGAGCCGTAGCGTTGTTGACCTGTTCATCAGAGAGAGAACGAGCATCTGATCAGAGACGCAGAAAACAAAGCACTGGTGCATTCAATCTAGAGCTGTTCTTATCCAAACACCTGCAGTAAACATCATTCAGTCGCTGAGAATTACGTCATTAACATGTGCTGAAGTTCACAAATCTCAAAATTAAGATATATTAAAATTAAGTATATTTACGGCTACAGCAGAAATTGTGGACTCATTGATATTCCCTTATATTGCTTCATGCATTATAAAAAACTCCCACTGATTTTCAAACATTCAACACAAAAACCCAGAAATCAATGCGTAAAAGCAAACGAAAAACAGGGCATTCCATTGCTAAAAATGAAGGAGAGAGATAAATAGAGAGAAACAGAGATCACACATGACGAAATCAATACACTGTGCACGGCTCTTAGCAAAATCACATTCAGCCAATTACAGTTCATTAACCAGAAATGAGAATATCAGCCAATCAGCAAGCATCAGATGCAGCCTATGGACCAATCCAAATACTCTGCAGCCTAATCCCGCCCCCTCGTGAAAAAAACACATCATACCGAGAAAGAGGAGGGGGGGGGGGTGTTCAGAAACAGAGGGATGCAGGAAAGAAAAAAAAGAGCCAGTCGACATTCAATGAAACCACAAAAACTGGAGAAGAAAAGAGAGTCAGACAGAAAGAGAGACATAGAGAGAAAAATCCACCCAATCAGAAACGTCAAACTCAAAAAGCCATCCAGTTTGTCATGAACAAGTACACCAAAGTGCGTCAAATGAAAGGAAGCCTGTGATTGGTTGTTGTCAGACCTTGTGAGGAGTGACGGAGTTTATGGGTGAGAGAGAGAGAGAGAGAGAGAGAGAGAGAGATGCATATGCTACATGTCACAATAAATGAAATCATGAAGACGGAAAACACCGGCAGGCATCAGAACGGTTCTCTCACACGCTGAAGACCAATATGCAAACACCGTCTCTCTCTCTCTCACACACACACACACACACACACACACACACAGTCCAAAACAAGCTGGAGTCGCTCATCCTCACATGAATATAAGGGCAGAAATATCGTCTGAGGAACAATTTCGATGTGCGTGTGTGTATTCAGGGGCGTTTTTGGCTCATAGGCTGTGCAATAATCAGCAGATATCTGGGCCTGAACTGGAGGAAGCATGATGATGATGATGATGATGATGGAGTGATTAAAACAATCACAAATGAAATGGAAGATGCGTGTTAGGACCGGGCGCCATGACCGTGTGCCAATCGCTAGAGCGTACTTTAACTAGAGACTTAAACTGGACAAGGTTAACATGTGGAGTTAATTAAAGTTTCCAAGCAGCATCAATAAACACAATATGAGCTCCTGCTAATAAACCAGATTGTTCCAATGATTTCTAGGATGACTTAATTGCAACCACACAATCCCATTCTAGAGCACTGTGTGCTTTGTTCAGCAGCTTCTCGAAGATCTTGGCTGATCTGCACAAAACCCGGACCCCTCCGAGATGAACTGGACCCCGTTCCTCAGCGTCTGGCCTCACTGAGGTCCAACATTTAACTCTCTCCCCGGCTGCTACAACAGCTTCACTCTTCTGGGAAGATCTTCCACTAGATGTTGAACACGGATGCAGGATTTGCTCCCGTTCAGACTCCAGAGCATCAGTGAGATCAGACGCTGATGTTCAGATCGTAGCTGGCGCTCCAGCTGATGACAAGTTGATATTGTAAACTATATGTGACCCTGGAGCACAAAACCAGTCATTTGGGTCAATTTCTTGAAATTTAGATTTATGCATCATCTGAAAGCTGAATAAATAATCTTTCCATTGATGTATGGTTTGTTAGGATAGGACAATATTTGAAAATCTGGAATCTGAGGGTGCAAAAAAATCTAAATATTGAGAAAATCATCTTTAAAGTTGTTCAAATGAAGTTCTTAGCAATGCATATTACTAATCAAACATTAAGTTTTGATATATTTACGGTAGGAGATTTACTAAATATCTTCATGGAACATGATCTTTACTTAATATTCTAATGATTTTTGGCATAAAAGAGAAATCAATAATACAATGTATTGTTGGCTACTGCTACAAATATCCCCCAGCATCTTAACACTGCTTTTGTGCTGCAGAGACACATATTATCCTCCAGCTCTAGTCTGTTAAATGCAACTATAATGACATTATTTTTCTGTTATTGATGCAATTCAATCTGCTGTTTTATTCCAATCGTTATTACTTGCCAGATGCTACTGTAGAGTGTTAGTTTTAGTTTAGTAGCATTATATTTCAGCCAAGTTTAAGGGTGCAACACAAATATTTAGTAGTGTGTAAGCTGTGACTTAGGATTCGCTGTAACCGGCTCCGGTCTGATTACATCACGTGAAGCTATTTCTGCTTCATTCATCTGTTAAAAGAGCTGATCTTTTGGTTTGCGTCCATCGACTTCCAAATGAAAAGAGATTTTTCAGAATTCACAGCTTTATGAAAAAAGCCACTGGCACATGCTTATTAAAATACACACCATTACCTCACTGGATTTCCGGGACAAATGAGTCCATATTATGAAGAATACATGCGGTTAGCGTGATGCGAGACTCTGGTCATAACGCCCAGCCGTAACGAGAGCTCATCAGAACCACAGGAGAGAGAAACGGAGAGATGGAGGGTTTAGTGTGACGGTCAGCGCGTGGGAAAGTGTTAATGATCATGAGAGCGATGGAGAAAGGAGGAGCGATGGCGAGCGCTGGGGAGGGAATATCATTTCTGTCAGAATCTGTGGTCCTCAGAAACTATAATTCTCAGGGAGAGATGCGCCGGCGCTAGCCGCGAACAGGAGAGGAGGAGGAGAGGAGAGAGAGAGGAGAAGGAGAGGAAAACAAAGCAACATCCGGTGAGGAACTCAAAGTCAGAGAGGGGACATTCACACAACAACAGCAAGACAAATCTTCAGGTGATCAAATCTGTCTGTAGGAGCGCTAAAGAGCAGCCGCATTCATCTGTGTCACAGAGGAGGAGGAGAAAGGGACGAATGATTAGAGGAACTCAAACACACACACACACACACACACACACACACACACACACAATGAAAATGCAGCACAGAGCGAGTCTGCGACTGAGTCAAAGCTGGAGCTACGGGCCAAAATAGAAGCGAGTGGAATCATGTCTAAGAGAGCAGTTAGTGAGGCTAACATGCCGAGCTAATGACATCACTCGGGGGAGGGGCCTGGACAGTGACATCAGAGGCAAAATCAAAATAGACACAGGGACAGGAAGTGATGCAACAGACAGGAAACACAGTGAGAGTGCAGAGCTGGACAGACAGACTGGCCAGAGAGAGAGAGAGAGAGAGAGAGAGAGAGACACGAGTGAAGAGCTTGATGACTGCGCATCGCTCTCTCCACAGATCTGCTCTCCAGAAAACACAAACAAACATTAGGGTGTCATTACATACAACAATAATATCATGGCAGATAATTCAACGTCTCTTCAAATTATTCAAATCAAAGGAATCTGACAGTGAAAACAATGGCATTCAAAAAGCAAACAAATGAATCTAAATGAAACTGATTGGGTTATAAAGTGCTGCTGCTGCTGCCCAGATTAAACCCGGTTTCTGATGAATCTGATGGTCTGAAGCGATCAGACTCATGCAAACCCAAACGAAGCTTCGCCGCTGCGCTGCCATGCACAAACAGCCACGGACACCGGGGGGCGCTACAGAGCAACGGTGCAGGCGTCATGCATCTACACCAGGGGTGCCAAACTCCATCAGACACAGGGGATTTATGGGTAAAAAAAACCTTTTGTGCTAATTAAGCAGAACGTAGGAACGCTTGTGTGAGTCGTCGTGTCGTGCAAGTAATTGCATGTAGCTATTAAAATGTGTTTGAAATTGAATCTGGAAGACAAATGAAAAATATCACGGGTAAAAAGTGATAAATGACTCTTATGATTTCAAAAACAAATTTAATGGAAAATGCTAATCAAAATTGAGGAGAATAATTAGCACTTTTGCATGCATGCTATCCATTTTATTTTATTTTTAATGCCGTCAGAAGCATGGCTATCTTTATGATGAGAACAAATAAGTGGCATGCAATTAACAAAAAACTATATTTAATATTAATACAAGACAAAAATGATAAAATGTACAAATGTTTTCTGTTTACATTAAAAAGGAGCTTGAGTGGAATGAATGCGTTTTATTTGGTTAAGTGAGTGATAATGTACAGTCAGCCAGTCGCCGTGGCAGAATAAAGCCTGACAGCACTGTCTTGCACTGAAGTGGCTTTTATGATAATGGCCAGCTAACTGTAAATTATCCCATAATAAACAGATACTTACCTGTCAAAATGAGCTGGATGTGAATGACTGTATTCTTTTATAATCACACTAATAGAGACGGCAGAGAGAGCGAGCGAGCGCAGCGTTACTAACACGAGCGGTCAGTTACACAGACAACAGAAAACATTCGGCACACACGACTTCATGCAATTTAGCCTTTGACCTAAAATGAGTTTGACACCCCTGATCTACACACTTAGTCCTAAAACAAACGTCCTGATTAATTTAGAAATAAAAATGACTTCACTTGGGATTACAGCCTGACGTGAGCAAAAAAACTAAAAAACCTTATCCCCCCGTCTATGAGACAAACACAGGCAGCGTCTCAAGAGGTCATGCAGGAGTTCAAGAACTATAAAAACACCCAGAAACCAGCACTGCAACACACTGGGTCTCACGAGGGGAAACACACGTGGCTCCATGCAGCACACACACACACACACTTATATACACACACACTCACACAGCAAGCAACAAGCTTCTTCTCATCTCCAAAATTCAAAGAGCAATCTACAAATGCACTAAAAACAACGAGTACACAAGCATCTGAAAGTGAGCTGTTTTCTCACAGTATGCACACGAATTCCATAATAAAGGTACAACACCAAAGTTGTGAAAAGCATTCAGAATCGTCAGTCCTCTTGTATCGGAAGAATCCAAGCAAATGTTTCATGAACAAAAAAGCCATTCAAACCAGAAGAAACAGAAACAGCATCAAACGCACGCATGTGATTGGCTAACTGTGAGCATGCTCAGTACAAATCAGATCATGAACTTAAAAAAGGGAAAATAACCGCATGCTGTTAATAACCGACACTCAGCCAGACAACAACCAATCCAAAAAACAGCCGAGAAACAGAGAAAAACCTCACAGAATCTAAAGTGGACTGCAGTAGAGATGCAACCATGCATTGCTAAGCTCACACACACACACACACACACACACACACACTTCCCATAATGCAACACACACAGCTGAGCATCTTAAGCAGTTCCAGGACATGTTTGGTCAGTAAAGGAGTGAAATGGGAACATCAGAAGGAGAAAGACAGACTCACCTCGATCTTCCGTCCCTCCACGATGGTCCCGTGGAGACGTGCTCGCGCTTTCTCTGCATCTGCACTGCCCTCGAACGTCACAAAACCAAAGCCCTGGACCACGACAGAGAGGAACACACAAGAAGCGTCGGACCTCCGAAACTCACCCAGCTTAAAGGAACAATTCACCCCAAAATGCTCCCAGAAAGGAGAGGTTTAGCAAAAAGCTGATGACAGACACGTCCGTGAGACTTTCATCTTTACGCTGGAGTCATTACTTGTTGCAAATAAATTCTCATCCAATTTACAAGGTTGTATTTTAAAGACAAAACATGTCCCAGGGATACTACTAGGATTCTTGCTTAAATACTTGTCAAATTATTAATTTGAGGAGGCCCGTTCATATTCAGAATCATCTGCAACACCATGATGTATCCACTAGATGCTAATTAATCTAATTATAGATCTGATTAATCACATTAATTTTAGCTGAGAATATACCCCCTAAAAGATCATTTAAAAACATTGTGTAAGACGAGTAAAGCATTGAATAGTCCTTACAAAAAGTAGCTTTAGAAATAAATATTTTGATTCAACTTAGCATAAATAATGATAATAGATGGGCATTAATGGGCTTTAAAAAATACATATTAATAATAACATCTAATCAGATCATATTCAAATGCATGATTTTAAAATCCTATTTCTTACCTTTGAGCCCCTCTCATTGAAAATGATCTCTACATCCAGAATCTTTCCAAATTGCTAAAAAACAAACACACACACACACACACACACACACACACACACACACACACACGCAGAGAGAGAGAATGCTCAACATAAACAAACCCACAGCTGTTTGCTTAATGCCTACAAACGGGTCATTATAAAAGAAGAGCTGCATTTACAACTTTAACGTGTGGTTACAATCTCGGGCACCAGGGGGCAGAACTGGCCCTTAAACACGCCACAGTTTGTCATCATGTCTTTCTAAAATCATCTGAGGAATAAACCCTGAAGCCTATAAAGCCTGCAGTACCCCAAACATCTGCCGCAGGTCTGGGTCTCTGAAGCGGAAGGGGATGTTAGAGACGTGGAGGCGTTTTGGGGTTCCTTTGGCCTCGGAGGACTCGCTGCTACCCGAACCGCCGGCAGAAACACACTGATCTTCTGCCTGAGTAGAGCTGTCTGTAAATACATCAATAAATGCACTGCTCTGTTGTCTCTGAGGCTGGGACTCTAAACAGTGTTCTGTGCTCGTCTCTGCTGCCAAACACAGAACAGTTAGCTTGTTTTGCTCAAACTTTCACCAATAACGGCGCCGTGGGTGGAAACTTATAGATTAAGGGGCGGTAATATTATAACAAGATCCCTTTGCCACGTCACCAAGGGAGCGAAATCAGACGCGCTCGTTTTCTCAGACGCTTGCAGAAAAAGGCTTCCCAAAACAAAATTACTGGGTTCATCTCTTTCACATTTCCTTGGTTGGTAGATGCACCGGGGACCTGATTATAGCACTTAAAACCTGGAAAATCTGATTTTCATGACATGTCACCTTTAAAAGAGCGACTGCCATGAGAGCGAGAACAGAGGAAAAGTGAAATCAACTGGAATGGAGAGAGAGAGAGAGAGGGCCGCCGCCGCTAATGCATTCCTCTCACAGATGACGCCACTAAAAGCCAGAGATATTACATTTCTCTCTTTCTGGTGACAAGCAGATTCAGGCAACCGTTCAATATTAATGAGGTCCTCTTGCATAATTTAGCGTACGAGCCTGCGACACATAAGCTAGCACAGCAGACGACACGCAGATGAAGCTAGCTAAGAGTTTCTGATCACAGATCCCACATCGGCTACAAAACATGATCCTGATGACGCTGCAGTGACTGATGAATGTGCTTAGAGTAAATCCAACAAAAACACTGCAGAAATTATATTTCACAAGAAAAAAAAATAAATTCCATTTGGCATAAAGTAAATAGTTTTCTCCAATTTTTTTTTTTACAGTGCCATTATGAGAACCAATCATCTGAGAAATGTGCGTCACATCTCTGCAGAGAAAACTGAAGAGACTCACCCCGCGTTTCTATGAGAGAGAGAGAGAGAGAGAGAGAGAGAGAGAGAGAGAGAGAGAGAGAGAGAGAGAGAGAGAGAGAAAACAAATCCACCCCCAGACCTTCTCCCCATACGCGACGA